GTGCTTAGGGTGCACACAGATCTATGCAAAAGTTGCTGGATGAGGTGATTCACTCTGCCTTAACTTTTATCACAGGGGCTAGGCTGCTCACCTAAGAGGCTGGAGCCTGAGGTTCAAGTTCCTACTATGTCTGATGTGGCATAGGGACTTGGGTCTCCCACATTCCAAGGGAGTACCCTAACTCTTGGGCTATGGGGTATTCTGAGGCTGGTTTGTGTCCAGTTGCAACTGTTCTATTTCCTATAAATACTTTGGTCTTTGGCACAATAAAGTAAATGACTCAACTGAGACTCCCCAGGTTCCAGTCCCCCTGCTTCATGGAACAATTATTTATATACAGTGGAATGGTTGCACTGATCAATATGAACCTAGCATATTCCATTGGCCAGAGGCTAGAATACCTGGCTGGGAAGTGGGAGATCCAAGTTCTAATCTTTCCCTCTAGTGCACAGAGGGAAGGGGCTTGAACCTGGATTGCCCATATGGGGAGAGAAGACACAGCTTAGGTGCTTAGCTCCCATAGAATATCTCTGAATATCAAGTGAAGGTAAAAGGGTTCCTGTGTCCAAGACTTAAGCTCCTAAATCCTTTTGAGTGGTGAATCTTAGGATACACCCCTCTCCTTATAGCATGTCTAGTAGCTGCTTAGGCAGCACCTTACTCAGAAGGCTGACTTTTATAAATCCCATTCTTGGCAGCTTAGCTCTCCCCACAAATTTGTATAAAGAACCTGGATGCCTAACTCAAGCTGTGAATGGCACTAGGTGTCAGGGTACCTAAAAAGGTAAATGTTCCAACATTTAGTAACAGTTCCATGGGTAAATATCATGTTCTGGTCATCTTAAAATAGTTAGGCTATGTCTACAGTGGCGCGTTCATGCAAAAACTCTTTTGCAGAAGAGTTCTTCTGCAAAAACTCTTCCAGAAGAGAGCGTCTACACTGGCATGTGCGTTTGCGCAAGAGATCTGCTTTTGCGCAAGAGCATCTGTGCCAGTGTAAACACTCTCTTGCGCAAGAAAGCTCTAATGGCCACTTTAAAGATATGGCTTTCTTGCGCAAGAAAGTCATGTTGCCTGTCTACACCGGCCTCTTCTGGAAGAGCCCTTGCGCAAGAGGGCTTATTCCTGAGCAGGAGCGTCAGAGTTCTCACGCAAGAAGCCCTGATTTTATACATTAGAACATCAGTTTACTTGCGCAAGAACACGCGGCCAGTGTAAACAGGCAGCAAGTTTTTGCGCAAGTGCGGCTGCTTTTGTGCAAGAGCGCACCAGTGTAGACACAGCCTTACTCTCTATTCCCTCCCCACCTAATTTAAGTTGTTAGGCCCCAGTAGCATTAATGGAAGCTCTTTGCAACTCTAAATGGAGTGTAGTACTACTTTGCTTATTTACAACTGCAAACAGGCTAAACAAACCTTGATTCCCAACTCTCCACAGGGCTGACTCTTCTCACATTTCATTGAACTACAACCCCCTTCTGACATAAATAAAAAGTAAAGAACATTGGAGGGAGAAGGTCAAGCCCTTTGGCCCTGAGGTTGTGGTGAGGCAAAGTCCAAAGACTTCAGACCAGATCTAAGGGGAAGGGCTGTATCTGAGTCCTACTGTTGAAGCTTGAGCCCTTGAACACAGTGGCTAATTTTGGTCCTAGCAACCCCATTAAAATGAGGTTGTGATCAACATTGAGGTCTCAACCTACAGTTTGAGAACTGCTGAGCTAACCCAAAACCACCAGATCTGGTTGCCCGTAAGCTGTTGAAAACTTGCATGCCTGCTGGCCCCAAGCGGCGCTTCAGCTTTGAAATGTACAAATGCCCAGTGGGGATTTTTGTACATTTCAAAGGTGGAATGCCACCGCTGCGCCCCTATATCAACAAATTGGGGGGGGGGGAGACAACTAGTCAACTAGTGTGTCAACTGTCCGATAAGCTTTTGCTTACTTCCCTAGTATGTATCACTGAGGATGAGGATACAAGTCTGGGCTTGGTTAGTTTTACGTTTGACTTTATGACTAGAACCTGTTTGACCACTGGGAAAGTGACTTTCTCTGTGCTGCACTTTGCTCACTTGTAGATGGGTGTGTGAAAAACAGCACCTTCCATTTGATTGCAAAGTAACCATGAGTTATGGGTCAGAAGTGCTGGGCCCCTGTAGCTTCCTTTGAAACCTGAAGTCCAGCCATCCATGTAAGTGGAGGACAGCTTTAAGTACTTAAATTTAAGCCAGTCAAATGTTAGACTGGGATTTTCAGTAATAGCCCTCAGTTAAATTGAAACAGAAGTCCACTGCTGCCCTTGGTGAAAACAGGTTCACAGTTCAGTTTTAACCCCCATAATGCACCGAGAAGGCTTAGTGTGCAAAACATTTAAATGCCCTCTTAGTAAACTGCTCATTGTTTTACTAAGTTGCTTGTACTACAGGTTTAATAAATTGTGATTACAACTGAAATCTCATTTGACAATATCTTTCATGGGCTATGCAATTTGTAAGGTTTGTAACACACTTCCTGCCTTAAGGTACTGTATATATAGGCAGTGTAACATGAAAGTAATTTCTAACTTCAAGTTACAGGTAACCTCCCTTGCTTCTTGGAGTGATGGTCCCAGTTGTATTTCACCCAGGGGCTGTGTCTAGACTGGCAAGTTTTTCCACAAAATCATCTGCTTTTGCGGAAAAACTTGCCAGCTGTCTACACTGGCCGCTTGAATTTCCACAAAAGCACTGACGATCTCATGTAAGATTGTCAGTGCTTTTGCAGAAATACTGTGCTGCTCCCGTTCGGGCAAAAGTCTTTTTCTGAAAAACTTCTGCGCAAAAGGGCCAGTGTAGACAGCAGAGATTTGTTTGGACCCTGGAGAGGAATGCTTATTTCCTCTGCTTTGTGGATTATGCCAGGCCATTAGTGCTCATGTCCAGAGGCAGAAACTTAAGCATCTAAGAACTTCAGCAAATATTTAGGTATGGAATTTTAAGTGCCTACACAGTCCACTCCCTAGTGTAGAGCAGGGCTATTTCAAAATAACTCCCCTTATTTCAAAATAGCAAGCAAAGCATCCACACTTCCAAGCCTGTTATTTCAAAATAAGGGGCTGGTTATTTCAGAATAACTCCTGCTTTCCATGAGGATTGTCACTTATTTTGAAATAGTTATTTCAAAATAGTGGTAGTATGGATGCTCCATTGCTGCTATTTCAAAATAACTACGCCCTAGTGCTTCCTGGGGCTCCAAGTCAAGATAGTGTGTCCACATAAGGGAGCCTGCTTCAGACTAATTTTGAGGATTCCCTGTAGTGTGGGCACACTATTTCAAAATAGTTGTTTTGGGACTAATTTCAAAATAAGTTCCTAGTGTAGACGTGCCCTGAGAGCTGAGGCACACAACTGTCAAAGAAAAAAGTGTGAAGAAAGTGGAGACCAAGATTCGTTGCAAGGTACCTTGGGGTATGCCTACACAGCAAAGTTATTTTGGAATAACTGTTATTCCGAAATAACCATGCAAATGCCTACTGAGCAATTCCGTTACTTCAAAATAACGGACGGCTTATTCCGACTTCTGTAAACCTCATATTACGAAGAAAATCATCTATTCCAAAATAGCTATTTTGAAATAAGGCTTGTGTAGATACTCCATTTCTGCTATTTCGAAACAGAATGGCTCTGGTGAGGGGCTAAGTTATTCCATCTACATTAGGGAAGCCTCCTACCTCAGACTAATTTTGAGACTTCCCTGCACTGCAGACACACTATTTCAGAATAAGCTATTCCGGTGTTAGAGAAAAGAAACTACCCCCCAGTAAAAAAGTTTGGCCAGGCTGCTCTTGACTCCTTGAGAGAAACTGGCCGTACCCGTTGCCTTTAGAAAAGGGGAAGGTGTGAAAAGGGGAAAATAGCCTCAGACACTCCCACCCGTCACCTTGGCGTGAGAACTGCAGGGCTTACCTGGTCGCATGAAACCTGCACAGTTTCAGCCCAACCCCTGCAACACAGACCCCCCCACTTGGTGACCATTGGGCCATATATGGTAATATGCAAGCGTGGGAAAGCAGTGTGCAGATTTGGGGATAAATACCCATGGCACAGTTCGCTCTAGGAGGTCTTCGCAACACATGTACCACCGTGCGTGTGCCTTCTCGTATACTTCAAAGCGTTGCCAGCCTGATCAACCTACCAGCCACCTCCCCCGACTCTCGGGCGTAACCAAGGCCTTCGCAACCAAACCAATATCTGTGAAATGTTCCATGTGCTGTGTAAGTTGGTATGTATGATTTGATTTTTTCTTGTTGTATAAGCTTAGTGTTATAGTTGTTTGGGTAGTATATAGAGTTTGTAGTTAACACTGTTATTTAATTAGTGTAGCTGGATATTTTAAGAATAGAGACTATTCCCCTTGCCATTCCCATCCTTATATCTCTGACACGTTTAACTAGAAATCATAGAATATAATAAATACTGTAAATTCATTATTAACACAGTCTATTAAAAATCTTAGAATAAATACTATAAATTCACCATTGTCATAAATAAATATTTTTTATTTGATAAAACGGTCCACCTGGTTCTGTCCTTCCCCCCTTGGGTATTCATCATCTGACCTGTGATTCTCATGACATCCGGAATAGCTTATTCTGAAATAACTGTGCTGTGTAGACGTAGCCTTGGATTGTATGGGAACAGATCTCTGAACTCTTCTATATAACTAAGGCTCTGTCTACTTAAAACATTCGAGTGCCCCTGCAGCAGTGCTTTAAAGTGAAAGTGTAGCCATGGCACCAGTACTGGGAGAACACTCTCCCAGGGCTCCATGTATCCACCTAAATATGGGGCATAGTTCCCAGCCTGTTTACACTGTGGCTTTACTGAATAGTCTTAAATCTCTTAGGAGGATACAACTAGATTCCTTTTAAGAGCTTCCCCACTTCTAAATTTGTTTTCACACTGATCCTTTCCCTGTCAAAGCCAGCCAAATAATGCACATGTGATCAAGAAAGACACTACTACAGTCAAGTCAGCATTGGGTTTTTTTTCCTCTATTTTGTACATCTCAGTACAGCATTAAATACAAAAGCTCTTTGGAGACCAAGTAATAGGACTTTGGAAAATATTATTCAACGTATATAAACAGCAAGATAACAGGCATTTTTAGTTAAACCATTTATAAATGTTTTACTTTTAACAGCTTTGTAAATACAACATGTTCAAGTATTACATCAGGAATAAAGCCCTTACTGATTTAGTCAAATCTTAATTTGTTAATAGCGATGAGCATGCTTTATACATCTTCAGTAACTTATAACAAAGTGGCTCTAGGTTCTTGGAAAATCGCTGCACTTTTCCAGTCATTGAAAAAAAAAAAAATTAGTTTTCAAGAACAAGCACTGGTATCAGAGAGATTGAGGGCTCAACTTTGCTGCCTGTGATTATCCATATTCAAAAGAAACTTGCTGCAAGCTTACCTGATATGCAGCCAAGTTAGTTCTGTTGAGTTCCTGCTTTTTAGTCCTGTGGTGCCAGAATGTTTGCAACCCAATTTTTTCAATACCTGAGAAAACTGAATTACATTTGTGTGCAAAGATTGAGATGATCCACCTCTGTACCAAAAAAACAGGACAAGGCTGCAATACAGCAGGTGCATGGAAGATTTTCCCAGTGTAGGGATCTTCAGCTGACCCAGCCCATCTAGGCTCTCCTACACCAATACTTCCCTAGAGCCAGTGCAAGGATTGTAGTCAGGCTATCTTGGCTGCTAAACTATTCCCTTGGGGCCATGGGCAGTTAGCACACAAGGTTAGCTTTCAGTCTCTTCTGCTTTACACTAGGTACTAGCTCAGAACAAGATCTCCCCATTAAATGTGTAGCTGCAGTATAGACATCTCTCCTATGTCAAGTTAATCCCCAGCTAAAACAGAGATCAGGGCCTCAGAAAGCAGTAAAATTTTAAACACACATGCAAGAGTTCATTTGCAAGTACCCATTTCTTCTCTTCTCTACCACTTTGTAACTTCCCTGACTTACGCATTTTCTCACTCAAGACACATACCCTGACATTCTGGCTGAAGTATTTTAATCTACGCTGCTATTCTACCCTATTTCACACACATAGGATTGGACCTGAAGCTACCTGTGGCCAGTTTGCCCAAGATGGTCAAATTCACCTCTAAGGTACTATATGTTCCATTCCTCCCCCCACTACATTCTGCATCGAGAGCAGGACAGTCATTTGAGAAATCTTTCAATTTTTGAAATGCTCTATTCTATACAACTCAGCTTTGTAGCAAGTAAAAATCAGAGAAGCTAATCAGAGGTTCTGTTTCTCCTTCATTATTAACGGAAGGGTCTGGTACCCTTACCTGAGCTATTTGTGGTTTTTTTAGGCCAAAACTGAAAAACTGTTATCTGATGAGATCTCCTTTGGAACAGAAGTTTCTCGTCTGACTCAATACTGCAGAACAAGAAATGTCTTAAAAATCAGCTGTCACATGAGATAGAATGACTGACAGTAACTTAACAGTACTTCATTCCCATTAACATTTACAAAAACCTGTCTGAAGACCATCAGTCATACATATAAGAACATTTGATAAATTAGTGTTAAAATAAGAGCACTAAAGGAAAGTTTTAGTATTTTGGGTATTAAAAAAACCTAGATTTTAAAATTGTCAGATTTAAAAACATGTGCTGTCAACCCCCTTGTTAAAAGTCACATGCAGACAAGTACCTCCAGAATGCAAACATGTAAAACAAAGGCACTAAGTTTTTATAATTTTATGTCAAGGTTTTTTGGGGGTTGTTTTGTGGGAGGGCACTAACTTCCAAAAGACACTTACTACAGAACATTGATTTCTAATAAAAGCAGTTGAATAGGTGCCTGTAGTGATATATAAGTAGTTAAGATTTTTCAATTAAAGTCTTCATTTTTCCTGTAGACTTCAGCAGGTGTGGTCCAAACTGAAAAGGAGAAAACAATTACAATGACCAAATGTACAGATCCTGAAAACTGTAACATTTTATAATCCACATTGGTAAGTGACTCAGGAGCTCAAACAGAGGCCACCCTACATTTGTCCACTTTGCCTGGTTTCCATGGTGCAAATAATGGGATTGGATTTAAATGAATCTTATCCACAAAGTAATTGGAAGTGGTCTCAGGATAATTTGTATCTGAAACCATGTGAAGTTACTCAGATGAGTCCTCTCCTAGCACAAGTCTGCTCAGATTATGCCTGTTCTCCATGCTAAAAATCTCATCTGTTGCAAGTCCTCTGTAAACCACGTATAATGCAATGCAAGGACTGGACAGGGAAAAAGGCTGTCTCAGAGCCAGACACAGTAACTGATAAGGTTAAAAACATTACTAGACCATAGGTAGTGTTTTTTCAGTACCACAGTATTTTCTGTCAAAGGCTTCCAGTAACTCTCTGAGGTCTACCATCCAATTAAGGCCCTTGCCCCAACAAAAGATGGGCCACGATCTCAAAGTGCAAGTAGTAATTAACATTCCATGAAAAGTAAAACAATAACTCATGATTTTCTCAAATCTTGTGACGTTTGTTCTCTTAGAATTCCCAGCACCTGGAGGCATGCAATCAAGTATGAATTTCAACCCTTGTGACAAAATTATAACAGTCATGGTTGTTGACAAGAACCGGAAAATGTGATCTGAGTGCACCCCCAAACCTCAAACCAGAAAAACAAAACAATTTTAAGTCTCATTGCTGAATGCGTATGGTTGGTAATCTAGTTCTACAGTCAGACCTGGAACACAAACCCACTGTATGAGTAAGATTATTATGCCAGGCCCATACACAGGAGTTTCGGGATGTGCGTGCACTTTTTTTTTGTAAATGTGGACTGCAAAGGTGTGAACGCACCTGCCCATGGTTCCCCCTCCCAAATAAGTGTACTTCAGCCAGCGGGCTGGCACTGATTTCTCTCCCGCCCCAGGAGTGAGGCCAGGGTAGGGCTAGGCCTCACTTGGGGAGTAGGGTAGAGGGAGTTGGGGGGAGCTGGGAAGGGGGAGGGGGAAGGAGGGGAAAAAAAAAAAAAAAAGTCAGCCTCAGCCTTCCCTCTGGCCAACCAGAGCATGAGGAAGGGAGGCTGGGGCAGTGTGCCACAGCATGCTTACTTTGGGGACCATGCCGGGTGCGTTCGCATCCTTTACACACAGGCCCCTGCATATGGGCCTGTATGCTTTGTGTGTCTCTTGCTGTTTGCTTTCTCTTTTCTTTTCCAAGCTGGAGTGAAGTACAAAAGATCATTTGTTCATTCTCCCTTTCTGACCCAGAAAGTCACAATGACTGCTTACTAGACTGCAGCAAAACTGGACTTCACATCAATAAAAAAGGGGACTATAAAATGATTCTAAGCTTTGTACTAGAAATGCTGATCGATGCAATGCTGGCACTACTTGAAAGAATTCTGGAACACTTATTGCAGAAGAACCACCCTTTTACTTCAATTTCCATCTTTTCTAATACAAAAATAGGTTTTCCCAGCACCATATTTATTTTTCAAATGGAACCCAGTTGTCTTTCAAAGTCCTAGTGATGCAATAAAACCTCTCTAGCCTGCTCATGGTTTACCTGGTCAGCAAAAGCCCTCTATAAAGTCGCTTCCTGCACTGGGTTGAACAGCAGCAATCTCTCCATTCCTCAACTACAGCTGATGACAGGCCAAGCTTTCTGGATTCTCACTCAATTGTCTACCTATTCCCAATAGGCACATGCAGTATTGCCAATGTTAGGCACTCAAAAAAAAACCAAATCACATCCACAAGTCAGACCCCAAAGTCACTTAACAGTAGGGATGTAAATGGGTAACCAGTTACCCAGTGAGCATCACCCTTAATGCCTGATGCTTACCGCATACCAGTTAACCGGTATCCGGGAGCCCCCTTGTCCATGGCACGCTGCAGGTGGAGAGCTGTTCCAGCCCCACAGGGATTGGAAACAGAAGCTGCCACACTACGGTTGGGGTTGCCAGTTTCTAACCTGCACAAGACTCCACTTAATTGGTTAACCAGTTAAACCTAAGATTTAACTGGTTAACTGATTAGCTGGAGTTTTACATTTCCTCTTAACACACATAATAAGAAAGTTCAAACACATTTCAGGTTGCCTTTGATTTGAATCCTTATTATTCACATTTTATTGATTCTTTCTACAACTATGAGGACTCAAAGTGTCTCAATCTCATTTCTTAATCTCTGCTCATGGAACAGCAAATACCGAGATTTGAAATACAAGAGACTGAGACATGGCTACGCTGCCCAGGACTACGTTGCAGTCTGTGGCCCACCTCTGAATGCTTACTGGGGTTTTGTGGAGATGGTGATGGTCTGACAGTTGTCTAAGGGTTTTGACGAGACATTGACACTGGCTTCAGTGAACATAGGACTAAGCCCTTTGAGGTGTTGTCAATCTCAGTACTCACCAGCATTTTTTCAGACTTAGCCTTTGTCCCAGACTCTGGACTCTGTTTTTCAGTTTCACTTTGGCTATCACTTCTGTATCGATAAGCAAATTTCTTTTTGAGAGCTTCGGCTATTAGTGTTGCAGGATCAGTTGGGTCAGGTGATTTGCATTTTGTGCCATCTGCTCTTCT